AAAGCGCACTGATTACTTAATAGTCTTTTCTATTCGTGCCTTTGATGACACCTGCATTCTAATCCGATGGAAAGGCTGCAAGCTATTCCACTTTCTTTTGCTCCCGTTACATCCAAAAATCGAAAAAATAGGTATCACAATGAATTATAATTTTTAAATTCATATTAATATTATGCGTTGATTATTATGTTCTAAGAAATGCGTAAGTATCTTACATACAACTATACCAGTCTAACGCGAATCGCGAGTTCATGTGTTTACGTTACACGAATAATTTTTTCATGGCCCGATATAAAAAACTAAAAACCGTATCTACGCATTGCTTCATCTTCCTCAAGAAATTCACCGTAGGAAGCGGCGAAACGACCAGATTAAATAAATTGCTGTAGCGAATTAATCTATGTGTCTGTGATTCGTAATTAACTGAAGCGAATCGAGTGATTAAAATTTTAAAGATATTTACATCAACACTGACCATACACACAAAATGGACAGACTTACTTTATTCTTTATTCTATATTGTATACACTATAAGAATATAACAATTTTAGGTATTTAAATAAGATGTACAAAGGCAAGCCAAACCCTAGTAAGAATTCTCTTCCGACAAACCCTTTGGGAAAGAGAAATAATGTTAGGTATATGTAAAGCAAGTAGGTAGTTACTTGTAAAATTAAAGTTATTTGTGTGTCAGAAACCATGCTAATCTATTTAAATAATCGACGTCCCACTTAGATGTATTCAAATCCGCGCAAAACTATACAAATCTAAATTTAAAACCTAATACTTTTTTGACATTTAACCGCGTAAAAATACCCTAGGCTCAACGCATGAGATAGGCGTTACATATTGCCCATTTTCAACGCATAAGTCGAATAACGGATTAAATACAAGCTTGAACTCATTGCACATTTTTGACATGGCGCTTAAAATAGTAGATTACGTAACATGTGAAATGGAAACAAAAGCGTCCTTGAACGACCAATGTATGTGACGACCTAATGTAGCGCGTACCGAAACAGATTACATTGACGTTTCGTTTGGGTACGCGAGTAGCGAACGCGGATTGGACCATATATGTTTTTCACGAAAGCAATTGTTGTTATCGCGGTATTAAGCACGGTTACTACGCAAGAACAATAAAAAATAGAACACAATCCGAGATAAACTATGTCTGGACGTGATGACGCGAAGGCCGCGAGTTGAACTCGTTCCATAGTTATTTGTTCCACTTTACATTCTTCAACATTTGCAGTTCTGTCTAATCTTAAACGGAAGACCTTTTTTGAAAATACGTTAAATATTATGAAATAAGAAGCATATCGAAGAATAAAGTCTGAAAGCTCGAATTGTCTTTTGTGTATTTATCTATTTATAATCAACAAGTTTTAGTTATCATAGTTGAATTACTAAAAATATGAATGAATGAATATCAAAAATCATGAATACGTTTATAAATGAAAGCTTAATCTTTTTTATCTTAAATTATAAGATTTAAAATTTAGTTTGGCGCCAAGCCACGCAGATTGATGTCGAAGCGTCTTTTCTATGACAGTCACGTCCACAAATCTGGCGTTCTGTTTATACAACACTATGCAACGGGCTTGTCTCGTTAAATTTTTATTACCACAAGGTCGCCACTTTATGGTCAATTCTCAGCTGTTATTGTTCGCCGGCGGAACTTTTTACACTAGCGCCAAATGCCTTATAACGGCGAAGTTACGGTTGACAGCGATTAGCTCATAATTGTTATAGAGCCATAAAACGATTTTTACAACCTCTAAAAGCATAATCTGTTTTGTTTGCTCGATTACTGAAATATATTGATGATAAAGGTGTATTAATGCGACAGTATCTGGCTGAGCGTATAGCCGCTATAAATTTACGCGTGCGACTGTTTTATTTCGCGATATATCTAAAAAACTGTGCAAATACGACTTGAGAGTAGTTTTAGTGGTTGTGACGCGTACGAGTAATGAGTTAGCTTTCTTTAGCCGATTTCAATAGCCTCATGTGATAGCGTTGCTCTGTTTTGACTGCTGCGAATTTGGCGATATCGAAGTTTGCAAAATGACCGCAGGGCGTCGGGTAATAAAGCGATTTGCGAGCTTGCCAACAAAACAATGGGCCCCATTCTAAGCTTGTTTTAACAGCTTTCGACACCGTGATTTAAAACCCTTTGACTTATACCTTATTTGTAAACATCTTGTTAGCACAAAGGCACGCATTTTTAAACATAATAAAAGAATTTGCACAACCCCATTGCCGTGAACTCTTTGTCGTGTCTTTTTTGCTTTTTTATAAAAATACGGTGAAAGTCGAAAGCTGGACGTTGTGCTTAAAATACATCGCCTTTCGAATTTTATTATCTAAATAATATGATATCATAGTGAATTCTACGTTTTCTTTTTTAAATATTGAAGTTAATTAAGTTGGTTTTATTTACTGCCTGTAAAAATATTGGTCCCTTTGGGACATAAAGTCAAAAAAGCAGAATTAACACCCAGTATCTCATTTAATTTTTTTTTATAATATATATTTGATATCATACAACTGGCAACGAAAGGATAGATAACGATTGTACTATTGTAAAAGAGAATTACAATTTGCACAGATGCAATAAACCAATTATTGTGTTTAAAATTTGAAAGAATTAGTAGATAAAAGATTAGATTAGAAGATAAATGATTAATTAGTATGTTAAAGGACTACCGCTTAATTGGCATAATCATCATCATCATTACAGCCTATCACAAATCTACTGCTGGAATTTTGATGGGCAGTTTAGTCGAAAATTCCTGCTTTAAAACCTACAATTATTTTTATATTTCTTCTACTGACTTGTCCATTGTTCTTGGAGAAAGTTTCTATACAATGCTACCTTAAATAAACCCCTTTATTCGAGTTGTACTATTACCCTTGGAGAAAAAAGTAGAATTGATTGCCTCTATTGTGTGCAGGTTTGTGTTGTGAAAGGTAAAAAGGTAGCTGAAAATTGCAAAATACATTTTAACTTTTAACAGTTAGATGAATATAAGGAATTCCGACTTTTTGTGATCGCATTTCTTTAATAGCGCAACATTTTTCTTTATTGTCGTATCAGTATTGTTTTTTGAGAGGACAAACAAGTATGTCGCTTTCCTTTTCGTAATCGTCGCCGTCCACATGCTTCTGCAATGCGAGAAGAATTGCAGATGCCTTGCCAACCTGAGCCACCTGCATGAATCGATTTACGTTGCATGTCATACAGGTTTTCACCCCATCAAGTAGTGGTTTACCCTAAATTTCAGTTACTGGTACGAGGATACTCGAGTACCTGTCATCCTCATCGGCTGCTGGTTCTATAAGATCGACCCATTAGAACTTTAGTATTACTGATTCGTGGGGCTATGTTGATACACAGGTTCCACAGCACATATCTTTATTCCGAATTCTATCATGCAGAGACAAACTTAATCATAATCCGTTAGATTTTAAAATTGTAATACGTAAAACACGCCTTAATATTGTAGTACAATTTTTTTCTCATTTATGTGATCGTTTAACATAGTCTATAGATACATGATACAATAATGATAATTGTACCAAACCACATTATTTGAGGACAATTGGGTAATGGACACCAAAATCATTAATCTTATTATGACGTATTATAGGATTTCCACATCATATAAGTTGAAGTTGAAGTTGTTAGTAGTGCGTTACTTTGTCGTTCCTTTTTTAAGTAAAATTAGCTTTACATTATTTTAAAATATACGAATAAAATGATTATTTAATTATGAAATCTATATATAGACCAACACCTAGAAATTATTGGTTTCACAACTTCTAAAATTTATTTTATTAGTGTCAAATACCCAATTTGTTCCTTCAATACACTCTTATGTTATTTACTCAATACAAAGTCATTCTAAAACAATGCATTCCTGCGATAATGTTTTTTTAAGTGACATTGTTTATCAATGACAAACTGTTAGTTCCATGATGATAGTAGTGAGGTAAAATGAATCGCAATGAACCAACCAAGCCATGTCAAATGAATAATTGCAACAAAACGTTACGGAAGGCGTGGATGAAGGCTTAATCGAACTCAACACGTGAGCTTCAAATGTCTCAATAAACATAATATGCTATTATATCAGTTCGTTCACGTTAAAACATTGTGATTTAATCATTATCTTCTAATTTAGAATTTCGAACGCCACCGTGTAGTTTCCAGGAATGCTACATTAAAGGAGGTTGCATGTGGAATATTTATGAGAGAAGTATTCCGCTAGAATGATGCAGAGTCTTGAAAACACAATTGACATGTGATTTTTCTTTTTGTGTGATGTAAAAAAATCGGTTTGGTATTAAAATATTTTCAAAACTTGCTGATAATATAATACATCATTTCACCTATTAACTGCTTTTGTTATTGTAAATAAGCAATAAACGGAGCAGAAATAAATAAATCCATGAATGGTTTTGAATAAATTTTTAAGATTGTGTACTCTAACCCTATATCTATTAAAAACAAAGGTAATAACTTCATCTTATCATATAGCATAGTCTTAGTAATTAATTAATATTGTCAATAATTTAAATGATTCTATAATATCGCAATCGACAGACACAATTGAAAATTAACTATCACCATTATTATTAACGCTACAAAATTGTTGCAAACACAATATAAATTTAAAATTGAAGGCGTTCGATACAATAAATATTACACTATCTTCTCATAAACTATCGCCATTTTGATAACTGTAAGTACTAGATTTGTGTTCCGGAAAGTCTAAAGGCGAGTTATAGTTAACGATAAACAAGTCTTATATTGTTATTTATGCTGATATCTTCACTGCATACCTGGGTGGTCCCTTTGTAATGTAAAGTTGTCTATTAAACTAACGCGAACGAACTGTTAACTTTACGATTGAAGCGCGTGTGTCAAGGGTTTTATATCTAGATACATAAGACTTAAAACTAAAAGAAAATAAAATTGAAACGATAAATACCATTGAACTCACCGCAGACCACGCGGTCGAAGGGGCTCATCCAATCTGGAAATGGAAAATCTATTATCAATCGTATTGAATGTTCCTTGTTTGGGCACAGTCGCATGCACAACATTGAATGAAATATATAAGCGGGCTCACTAGACATTAAATACTAAACTACTACGTATATTGTACAATATGTTGCAATAGCATTGTGATATAAAATTATTTTACATAAATACAAATGTCACATACACTTATATAAAAACATTAATTTACATTACACATTGGAAAATATAAGTAAACAATTTTACGAAGCAAGCACACACTATCAAGAAAATGATAAAAAAAATAAACAAATTATACCAAACAAAAAATTACATTATTATTAGTTCAGTTAAAAAAAACGGCACAAGAAATGTTCGCAGGCAATAAATTTAACTAAGGTTCAATTTGACGCTACGCTACGGTTGTAACAATAAATGATTTTTCTAAGTTCGTAGTTTAATAAAAAATCCGACTTACTTAACGTCAAGATATAATTAATTTTATATATTCTTTAAAAGCCTTGACAACGTTAAGAAATAATCACACAAAGAATAAAGTATCTTTGCATATACACTTTATTTAAGTAATTATTATTTATATATATATAACCGCAAATGAGTAACTGAAAATATTATAACCCAAGAAGATTTCCAAAATCTAAATGCAATTTACAATATACTAGGTCAACTTATATTTCATGGTAATTGTGTTTAAGGATATTTGCTTCTTATAGGATTAGGGTGACAAAGGAGCACACGGTCCACTTGATGGTAAGTGGATGCTGTGGCCCATAGACATCTACATTTAACCTCGATTAAGAATCAAAATGCAGATGGGTTGTCACCCTTGAGCACTAAGATGGAATGCCTCCATTCCAGTGAAACGGATCTCTGGTTCTCTACACTCACCATACGAAACACAGCATCATTAAGCTGCTATTTTACTATGATATTCTGTGAGAGCGTGGTCCTTCCCCGGTCGAGCCAACCCATTCATGCTACAACCATAATATAACTGCAGCGTGGCTCTATAACGTATACTAGGTATATATTATCTATATTGGATATTATTATATATTGGATAACTAGCGATCCGGGGCGGCTTTGCATGGATGGTTTCAGGGTTTCGATTACAGCGCTACCTACCGGGTCGAGTTTTTAAACCATCCAGGAACTCACTCAAAAACACACAAAAAATTCATCAAAATCATTCGAACCGTTTTCGTGTTTTTGCAAGACAAACGGACATCAATCAATTTTTATGTATGCAGCTAATGGTAAATAGATGCTGCGATCTACAGACATCTAAGAATCCCTGAAAATACCGCGTTAAAGATGGAATACCTCGTTACCAGTAAAAACTAAAATATGTATATGTGTGTATGTTATGTTGTGTGTAGTGTTTTTTTATCGTGTGAATAATTAAATAGTTTCTATATATAAATATGTATAGAAACTATTTATTTATTCCCACGATAAAAAATATGCCTAAGAAATTAAGTTCTCTGGTTTATTTCGACCACGAAAATTTTCTGAAAAGCGCCAACTGCGTATTGTAATGCTAGACATTTTATGCGTACCTCCGTTATGCAGTTACACTACTTCGTTCTAATCTGCCTATATAAATGTATAAGATCTGAACGTGGTCGAAATATGCTGCAGTGTATTACGGTTGCAGCATGAATGGGTCGACTCTACTACTGGCAATGGGCTACGTTTGCACAGAATACCATTGTAAAATAATTTACCGCTGAAATGCTGCTGCGTTTCTTATGGTGAATAAAAAAAATTTGAGAATCTTTCAATTCATAAAGAGGCATACTACCTCAGTGTCTTTCGCATTTCCATTCTTAATTGATAATATGTAGTAGGTGTCTATAAGCCACAACTTCACTTACCATCAGGTGAACTGTGTGTCTGCATGTAAACTTTAATTATATAAAAAATGAGCGACAAATAATCTACTAAAGACATAATATGGACAATTATAAGAGGTCGAGTTGTGAAAACAAATAAGAATTAATGAACAAGTTTTAACCCCTACTGGGATTCAAACACAGTCCCAGAGAATCAAGTCTGTCTCTCTGATAGTTAGAAAGAAGGAAAAAATGTAAACATAACATGAAAGCCAATAAAACAAGTGGTATAATTAAAAATTTGTCCAACCGACTTCAATATAAAAATAAATGAGAACATCATCAATGTAGTCGAATTCAATTAAATACGTATTATTAAGGATAACTCAAAAACTACTTGTCAGATCTCGATCAAATTGGACCATATGAAAAACATCAGCTTTCAAATGAAAAAATACAATCATCAAAATGAGTTCACCCAGAAAAAATTCTGAGATACATGAAAAATACAGTCGAATTGAGTACCTCCTCATTTTATGAAGTCGGGTAAAAAGGAAAAGTATATAGTATATTTATAATATATATATAGTTATACAATTTTACTATTTAATCCTGAAACACTTGAAGATTTGTCTTTTTAATCTTAAATAATTACATAAATATTCAATGACGTCTTTTTAATGGTTTTGTAAATGCACATAATCCAATTACTGCAGATGCCCTTCCACTTGTAAGAGCAGTTCATAAAATAAATGCGTTGCACTAAAGATATCGTTGCCATAAAAATGCAATATATATACGAGTAATAATATGGTATTGATATATAACTTTAAAAAATATTTTGAATGGTTTCATATAATTTACGTAGTCAGGTCATAATTACTACGGAAAATTTATAAATGAATTCGAAAATTGGTGAAACATGTTATTTAGTTCATAACATATATCTATAATATACGACATAATTAGGTAGTTATTCTTAATTAGTATTAATAAATATATATAATATTAACGTTTAATATATATAATATTTTACGTACGTATAATTAATAAATATATATAATATTTTACGTGGTAGAGCCATGCTGCAGTTATATTAGTAGTATATTCGTAGCACGAATGGGTCGGCTCGACCGGGGAAGGACCACGCTCTCACAGAATACCAGCGTGAAATAGTAGCTTAATGCTGCTGTGTTTCGTATGGTGAGTGTAGAGAACCGGAGACCCTTTTTACTGGAAACGAGGCATTCCATCTTAGTCCTCACGGGTGACAACGCATCTGCATTTTGATTTGTAATAGAGGATAGATGTAGATGTCTATGGACCGCAGCAACCACTTACCATCAAGTGGACTGTGTGCTCGTTTTTCAACCCTATCCTATAAAAAAGTACTACAAGTACATACTAAATAAGATAAGATAACTATGACGTTATGACGTCAAACACCATAGTACTTCCATGAACATGTGTGTTGTGAAGCTCCCAATTAAAAGAAAAAAAATAGATGCGATAAATCCTGTTAAATTAGTTTTATTCAATGTAATTAAATCAGATCCAATCTCAAACAAGGAGAATTTTTTTAGCCCCAGTGTGTACTATGAAACGAACACAGGTTCGGATTTCAACCTAAGTAATATAACTAACTCAGCGGCTAATTACAGAGTCACTGAGTCATCAGAAAAAAGAAGGTAGGTTACTGTATCCAGACAAAAGTTGATTTAGGTATATATCGATAATTTGACTTTGAAAATGACATTTATTCATTCATTATCAAATTGACAAAGTATTGCGAAATAATCATTTTACATTTAATTAAGGACGGAGTCACTCCGGTTCTTTAGCAGCTAAATTAACACGACCCTACTATCGATAATATAGGAAACATAAAGTATTGTAAACGAATGCAATCGTTAATTACCCTTAAATGCATACAAAACTCGATTACGACGATTTGTAAGCGATACATCGATATTGCGCATGAATAATTTACCCGAGAATGATAACAGCAGTCCTTTGGGACTAAATTCCTAAACGTCGTGTTTCAAATGCATCAACTCTATAAGGTTTAAGGGGTTTAGGTCTCCCATCTACTTCATTTCATAATGTTATTATATCAAATCTTTTTATTTTTTTATTTTTATATAAAATGCTTCTTTTACGCGTTAAATTCAGATAATTATAAGGGGTAGGAACTATGTAAAATATTATATATCTACAGGCTGAACCGACACATTGAAGTAAGGGTGATTAGGGTTTGTAAGCCAAACGTGGCAAACGTGGCAACTATGGCTAATATCTCCCTAAGAGGCAATCTATGTTGCAGGCTTGTGTTCAGCGGTGGACTTTAATACGCTGTAACGATGATAAGCTAGCACAAAGTCCACTTATTCCTTATCCATCCCCGATTACCGATCAAAATGCAGATACTCTGTGACCCCCGATGACTAATAATGATGGTGTCCGGTTCTCATCACTCAACATAAAATAGCCGCGTTATGCTGCATGCATATTCGCTTGCGTTTTGTGGCAGTATCTCTAGGGTTGCCAGATGGTCGGGATTCGTCTTGATTCTTCCGACTTCCAAATGATCTTCAGACTCCCGACAAAACTCAAAATCTCCAGACAAACAGTATCTCGGAATGTTAACGTATGACCTTTAAAAAAATAATTACTAATTAGACTGAACTTTGAAGTAAATTGTTTAAATATTACCTAAATATTATCTGAGTGTAATACTCAGTTTAAAGGATCCAAATTGGTGGACTCTAGTAAAGTCTATGCAAAATATATGTGGCCACCAAAAAATAAAAATTAAGTGTACTTAAATTAGTTTTGTTTGAAATACTTTCTGTGGTCTCTTAATTTAAAAAAAAACTATATTTTTAATATTTATTTCCCTCGACAACAACCCTAAACTCCCGATATTTTCTAAATTTGTCCAGATATTTTAATCTTCCGATCCGGCAAACCTAAGTACCTCCCGTGTGAGTGCCATAACTTTGGTGTGAATCTTTAGGTGCCTATGGTATAAAGCTTATTATGATATTATTTTCTTACTTATATAATAAGATATTAAAGAGACATCGGCTCATAATCGGTTCTAATACATTTTTACACAAATGTAGATCATTTACCGTTAGGTGCTAGTTAGTCACCTTTATTTTCTAACTTCCTC